CTGTTTCAATTCAGACAAGAGGCATCCCAAAGCGCGGAACTTCCCAGAATCCAAAATCAAGTCCATGTCTAACTGGAAGTTATTAATATGTCGGTACTGTTTACAAAGTACATGCAGTTCAAAGTCTGTCATCACTTCCATGTCTTCAAAGATTAGGTCAGGGTTAGCTTCACAATGTGTAGGTTCCTTTTTAATACAGAACACAATACATGCTAAAGTGACAATTGATAATATGGTCAAAACACTGTAATCACATCTGAAAAATCACCTAGTTCATTGCACATTTTAGTGTAAACAGACTTAGCCAAGGAAATCAATATTTTAGGTATAAGAAAGGGAGGGAATTCTTACTATTACAGAGCTACTGTACTGAATAGCTACAGATAAAATGATGTCTACAATCAACACCACAATAATCCTGGGGAGGGGCCCAGAGTATAGACAGAACGGCAGTACTACTGAACGTGAAAGTGGACGAAGGTTACATGGGCCGAGGGTTTCATTATGTAATCTCTCTACTTTACATGTTTAAAATTCTCTATAAAAAGTTTAAAGTAAAGAAAAAAATTAAAAAAGAAAACACTGCACTGAACACACAAAGCTGTCATACAAAATAAGGATAAAGTACTAAAGGACAATGAGGCAAAAAATACGAGTTAACTATGCAGGCAAAGCACAAAGCAGAAGGAATGAATGGGCACACATAACTGTGCGGGACAAATCATGGGAGTGTAGTTCAGGAATGAAGAAAGCTTTTAGGTAAAGAGCTAGAGTGCAAACCCTTCAGGCTCTGTCAGTGAGATATGCTGTGAGACTGCCCCGGCAGTGAGAAAGCAGATGGAGACAGCATAAAGAAGGGGGCCTGACCATGATATACTGAAACTTTACTGTATAAATAAAAAGTCACTGCTTCAAGGACACAGATTGCTGATCTCTGATTTATCAGTCTGTTTGGCAATTCTGTCCTTCATATCACCTTGAACGTCGTCTTAAAAGATATTTGAGTGGCTGGGGATATAGTTCAGTGGTATAGTACTTGCCTATCATGAGTGTGACCTGCTGTTTGATGCCCAGCACTGCAGAAAAAGTTTTCTTAAATATATGCTGAAAGGATGAATACGCCCAATGGGTGCAGTAGTACAGCTTCCAGCCGGAGAGCAGTGTGAACCCTTACCTTTAGCATGAGCTGGGACATTTCCTTGAGTTTCTCAGCTGTGTAATACTGCCGATGCAATAAAGGGTGATTGGCCATTTTTCTCAATTGCATCATGACATTGCACATTTCCGTATTTTTTTCTGTGATAGAGAATACATTTTAAAAGAATCAAACTGACAGCAAATGTACTGAACTGTATCTATATTTTGAAGTTCTGAAATTACTTCTTCAAATTCCAACTCATTTTTTAAAAATGAGCAAACCTATCACTAAAAAAAAAAAAAAAAATGCAGCCCCAGTACTGGATTATTTTTTATATAAACCTCTGCAAGGCAGCTTTTACCTAGGTTATTGATAGATTTTTTCAGTCTGTTGAAAAGACCAAAGTAGAGCTGCTCTTGCTTCTCTGACATGGCACATAGCTCGATCTGATCTCTCTTGGGGGGCAGCTGCTTGAGAACCTGAGGAAGAAAGAGTTTAAGATTTTCAATAAGGAAGAAAACAGAATTTAAAAAACTGTCATGATAAAAAACGTGGTTACCTCTTCTTTCACTCTTCTGAGAATAAATGGCTTTATAATTTGTTTTGCATGTGCTATTCTCTCCTTTTCATATATGCTCTGCTCATCTGCTGGTTTCTAAGCAAAATAAAAACATCCTTTTAGCAATTATTCATTTAAATGATAATAATACTATACAACATGAATATCTTGTGCATTAGAGTCTAGATAATTTTTTACAGAAACAATTCGTAGTGTATAGAAACTCATGTTTCCATTCTGGGTTATAATCCAGAAAGCTCTGTATGTACTCTGAGGTTTCACATGCTTACACATGTACTATACTGAGATAATGAATCAGAACTGCCCTATGCCAGTGCTCAGAACTAACCAATCAACTGACTGAGTCAACAGCTGGTAACCCAGACCACGCTCATGAAATAAAGATGTTTGTGTGCATGTGTAAGAGGGAGAGAATTTTGTGGAAAATGGTCCCCAAAGAAACAGGGCTGTCTGATACAGATCATGTAGACAAAGACGGGATGGTACCTAGATAAAACTGTTAAGTTGCAAGAACAAAAACTATTGATTTGGGAGAATTAAAAGTGAAATTTTATTCAAGGATGTGAGGGGGAGTGCTCCAGATCTTAGAAACTGGAACTAGGAAAATACTATAGTTGTATTCATAAAATTTGCCTATTTCAAAAACTGGATACGAAGTGGAGAGAATTGATGAAATGTGACAAAGGAACTTAACTGGGCCTGCCCTTAACCCCAACCACGCTAGAGGCTGTGGCAGATCAGGAGTTCAAGGTCACCCTGGGCAATTTAATGAGACCCTGTCTCAAAATAAAAAAAAGTGCTGGGGAATGTAGCTCAGTGGAATGGTGCTCCTGGGTTTGATCCCCTGTTTTCTTTGGAGAGGGGTCGTTAGTTTGTACTGGAAGATACTATGGAAAATTCTTTTAAAAGGTGATCTAGGAGAGTCAGAATCTATACAAACATTTCTGTACTGAAAAAAAAATTAATGAATTTTATTTCAAAACATACAAATGTTTCTCGATATACTACTTTTGCCCAGTTTTACCATACATGTCATATATCTGTCTCTCCTTCAATGTAATATTGTCATTCCTCATAAAATTAGGACTTAAAAAAATTCCAAAATTTTTAGACATGAATGAATTCATCTATCATTTCACATATTATATAATGGCTGATTTCTGAACTGATCCAAATACAGGAACCTCAACTAACTTATTTCATAGAGCATATACATGATGAGAACAAAGACAAACTGGCAAACAGCCCAGGTAGAACACGAAGTAGCACATCTGGGAGAACACACGTGTGCATGCTTACTGTCTTGGAGGAAAACATCCTTCGGATTTCACTGGTGCTGCTACTAAACATATGTGGCATAACGAAGTTCAGCAGCGACATGAGCTCTAACAGGTTGTTCTGCACAGGTGTGCCTGTGAGCAGTAACCGATTATTTGCCTGTGAATGAAGATAAAATTTACATCAGGTTTTTTTAAGAGAGACACTTCCTTTTTGCCTATCTGGCCCAGAGTAAGGGCATAAGATGAGCGGGGAAGAAAATGAGAGCCATTATTAATAATTAACATTCTATGATGATAGGCTGAGAATTCAGATATATATTGCTTGCTATCATCATTTGCTGAATTTATGGAAGAATGCTAAAACCACTGGTCTGACTTTTTAAGTAGGTAGTGTGGGTCCTCATATCACTTTACAAGATGATAAAAGATAAACAATATGGGAGTATTTATAATTTACCACAAAAACACCGGTTGGTAAATTGGGGCACATGGGTGATGAGTTAAGAGGTAACAATCTTTTTAAAGCATCTTTAAAACAAAACAATATGTGACAAAGGCGACAGGCTCTTTAAGACTTAAAATATTACTATCTGGCTTCATACAGAAAAAGTCTGCAGACTCTAAATATAAAATACTGTGTATGTCACAATTACATAACCTACAATTTTATCACAACTTGGAACAATTTATAAAAAAACTCTCTTACATTAATTGTCATTAGATGCTGGTAGCGGATTGAGCCCATATTCTTTAACATATGGCCCTCATCAAAAATTGCATAATTGAGTTTCAGGCGTCGAAACAGACTACGGTCATCAGAACTGCTGATTGCACAATTGTACCTGTCATCAAGAGAAGAAACATCTATTGAAGATTATACCTGTTAAGCGTCAAGCCTACTAACACATAAACTTTTTCTTTTCTTAAGGTGATTTTTTTATTTTATGGAAAGAAGGTAATACAAAGTCAAAGTTTTATAACAAAATAATACAATGAAAGTTAATACACTGCATATTGTTTATCTTTAAAGTAGTTATTCGAGTATAAGATATGGGGATTAAAATTTCTCTAATCGATACTACCATGAACCTTCCTTTTCAATGAACTAAGAGACACTAATATTGTAACTGACCTTAATTTTTTTCCCCTTTCCCTTCTATCCTTTCCCCTTTCCTCCATCCTAGTTCTTGTTTCCTTTCAAACATTTTCTTCCCACTTCATATCTATTGTACATTTTAGACTTTATTTACTCTTTCAGTTTCTCACACTAAGGAGACAATATGATGTTTACCCATGTACATCTGATTTATTTCACATGTGAGTATGGTCTCAAGTTTGTCCTTCTTTATGGCTAAGTAGAGTAGTACTCCATTGTATAAAAACACATCTTTTTTATCCATTATTCAACTGAAGGGCATTTGGGCTGTTTCCAAGGTTTAGCTATTACAAATTGTGCTGCTATAAACATGGGTGCACATATATCGCTGTGGTATAATGTTTTTAATTCTTCTGGGAAGATACCCAGAAGGGAAATAGCTGGGTCAAATACGACCTCTAATCTTAGCTTCTAAGATTAGAATAGCCATACTAATTTCCACAGTGGATGCATCAGTCTACACTCCCACCAACAGTTGGAGAAGCGTTTCCTTTTCCCCACACCCTCTCCAGCATTTGTTATTGGCTGATTTCTTGATGATAGCCATTCTTTCTGGGGTGAGATGGAATCTCAGTGTTGTTTTAATTTGCATTTCTTGAATGACCAGTGATGCTGAACATTTTTAATATATTTATTTGCCATTTGTACTTTATCTGAGAAGTCTGTATTTATCTCAGATGCCCGTTTTTTAAGAGGGACTTCAAATTTGGAGAAGTCTGTTTTTTTTTCAGTTCTCTATATGTTCTAGATAGAAGTCCTTTGTGTGAGGGACAATTGATTAAAAATTTTTCCTACTCTGTGGGTTGTCTTTTCAACTCGGTGATTTCTTTTGATGTACAAACTTCTTTTTTTTCCTTTGGTACTGGGAAGAGAACTCAGGATCTTGCTCTTGCCAGGCAGGCGCTGTGCTGCTGAGATACATTTCTGGCCCGCAAAAGCTTTTCAGTAAGATGAAATCCCAATTGTTGATTCTTTGAAGTATTTCCTATGTAGTCTGGGTTTTGTTCATGAACTGTCTGCCTATACCTTTATCTTTAAGACTTCTATTTTCTTTTCCAGTAGATTTAGTATTTCTGTTTTATTACTTAGAGGTTTGATCCATTTTGATTTTATGTTAGTGCATGGTGACAGACATGGGTCTAGTTTTAGTCTTTGGCACATAGATAGCCAATTTTTCCAGTCCCATTTATTAGGCTATCTTTCTTCCAGCGAACATATTTGACCCCCTTGTCAAAGATAAGATGGCTGAATATGTTTGTAGTTGTGTTTGAATCTTCTAATCTGCTCCACTGGTCCTCAGGGCTGCTTTTTGCCAGTACCATCCTGATTTTATCACAGTAGCTTGGCAGTATTATTTCAAGTCAGGGATTGTGATGCTACATATCTTGCCTTAGTTAAGGGATATCTTTCCATTTTCTGATATCCTCTTCAACCTTCTTTTGCAGAATATTCTAATTTTCAATGTAGAGATGTTTTACTTCCTTTGTTAGATTGATTCCTAAGTATTTCATTTTGGGGGATGCTACTGTGAAGGGTGTGGTTTCCCTAATTTCTCTCACACTGAGTTAGTTGTTTCTGTATAGGAATGCTACTGATTTGAGTGTTGACTCTGTATCCAGCTACCCAACTGAATTTGGTTATTAAATCTAAAGTTGTTCAGAATTTTTGGGGTCTTCTACGTAGGTATCATGTCATCTGCAAATAATGATAACTTAACTTCTTCCTTTCCTGTCCTTATTCCTTTTATTTTTCTCTCTTGTCTAACTGCTCTGGCTAATGTTTCCAGAACTATACTGAATAGGCGTGGTGATAGTGGATATCCTTGTGCTGTTTTTAATTTTAAAGTGAAAGCTTAGCATTTTTAGAAGATTTAATGCCAATACTCCTCAAATGCTTTAATAAAATTGGAACGGAAGCAATACTCCCTAACTCATTTCTAGAGGCAAGTATTACCCTGATACCAAACCAGAGAAAGACCAAACTGAAAAAGAATGATAGGCCAATCTCCCTAATGAACATAGATGCAAAAATCCTCAATAAGATAGTAGCAAACGGACTGCAGCAAATCATCAAGAAGATCAGACATCATGAACAAGTGGGGCGCATCGTAGGAATGCAGGGACGGTTCAACATATGCAAATCAATAAACGTAATATACCATATCAATACAGCCAGAAACAAAAATCACATGATCATCTCAATAGACACCGAAAAAGCTTTTGACAAGGTCCAACATTCATTCATGACAAAACTCCTACAGAAAATCAGAATAGATGGTCTTTATCTGAATCAGAGAAAAGCCATCTATGACAAACCAACAGCCAACATCATACTAAATGGACAAAAACTGACAGGTGAATTTTTTACAGAATCATTTTTATTCATACGTTTCTAGTAGCCAGTTCCTAAAAGACAACCCTAGACATAGTTAATAGTCAAATAAATACATTACTAATGTATTTGTATCTAATGATTATTGACATACATGTAGCCAGTTATAAAAACTATGACACATAATGAAAAGAAAAATGTTAGAATCAGACAACTTCAACATACTTGGGAAGAGGTCAATTTGGGTTTAACTCATAAATAACCCGATATTGTTATACTGTTCAGCATCTTTACTCCATTTTAAGAAGCAGAAAAAAGAACACAAAGCTAAAATGTATCCAGTTTTAGAACATAAACTAATGGAGTAAATCTGAGAAATAACAGTTATAGTTGTTCAAGACTACTATGGAGACAGCCGGGCATGGCGGCACATGTCTGTAATCCTAGCACTTGGGAAGCTGAGGCAGGAAGATCGCTGCAAGTTCAAGACCAGGCTGGGCTACAAAGTGAACTCAAGGCCAGCCTGAATTGCAGAGTGAGAGACCCTGTCTCAAAAAGAGAAAAACAAAACAAAACAAAACAAAACCCAAAGACTACTATGGAGTGCTTTATTAAGATGACAATATGGATGAGCTCTTTCAAGGATGGACTCTTAAAGAAGAAACCAGAAGGGAGAAATAATAACCAGCAGTTAAACAGAGATTTATCCATGACTCATGTGATAAATGCAACGTACAGAGATGACTGAAAAATATGGTACATGTTTAGATTACAAAAGGACGTTTTACACAGCAAGAGATACTGCCAAGAATAGGGTAAGTGCCTCTGAAGTAAGAGAGAGGGAGTAGTCTGAAGGCAACTAATGGCAATGTGTCTTCGAGTGAAATACATTTAATTTAAACATTTGCATTGTTTCTGATCACTCT